GCCTCAGAGATGCACGGTGTGATCAGCAGGGAGTCCTGGAATCCTTCCAAGCCACTAGCAATTTTAAATTTATGGTAGTCATATCCAGTGTTCCCTCTAAGCTGCGTGAGTGTGAGCTAGCTCACAGTTTTTTTAGCCTCCGGCTCACACATTTTTGTACTAGCTCAGGAAGGGAGGGCTCCAGAGTAAACTACGGTCCCTGCCACACGGCAGGGAAACGGAGGGCTGATCTGCGGCAAATGTGAGCCGCACCAAAGTTGGAACGCCGCGTGCTGCCGAACTGCGCATGCTCGAGCATGCGCAGTACGGCAGGGGGCCGGGAAGCACCAGCACAAATACAAGCCGGCCGATCCCACGGCCCGGCTTGCGGCGCTCCAACGGTTACAACCACCTAGGTAGGTGGTTCATTTTTACTGCGCGTTTTCGCCGGTAGGGACGGATCCGGCACGCTCCCCAGATGTTGAGGTGGGATCACGCCGGTTTGCTCCGCCCCCGTTCCGTCCCGCTCCCGGCCCAAATGGGCTCGTATGAACAGGGCCTAAGTTATGCAGTAGCCAAATTGCTCACTCACAACTTTAATGCCAGTAGCTCACAAAGTAGAATTTTTGCTCACAAGACTCCACAGCTTAGAGGGAACATTGGTCATATCTGGGCTGCAGGGGAGCCAACCAAGACTCTGGGAAGCCTGGTCCTCGGTTCTGAAAGGGATGGATGGGGTACCCGCCGGGCAACAGCTTTGGGGATGATAAGGGAAGCGCCTGGCCGACCCCTGTAAGTTCTCTGCAGCCAACTGCCCAGCTGAGGAGCACTTGGATGGATCCCTGTTCAGCTGTGGCTTTGAAAAATTACGGGGAGAGCTTCTGGCAGCCCCTTAGCTTGCGCACGCGTGGCTCTGAAAGGGATGGATGGGGTACCCGCCGGGCAACAGCTTTGGGGATGATAAGGGAAGCGCCTGGCCGACCCCTGTAAGTTCTCTGCAGCCAACTGCCCAGCTGAGGAGCACTTGGATGGATCCCTGTTCAGCTGTGGCTTTGAAAAATTACGGGGAGAGCTTCTGGCAGCCCCTTAGCTTGCGCACGCTGAGTGCTAGAAAAGCCAGTTACACCACCTGCTTCCCCAGGTCACAGAGCAGTGGGGAATTGCGCAAGCATCTCCCAACAAAGCCATAGCCATCAAAAAAAAAAAACCTTAGGGGATCCTAGTTGCTTCCCCGTAGCCTGGATTCCCAAAGCTGGGATCTCAGAGCTTTATACATATCCCAGCTGAATACTAGCTTTCAGACAGAGCCTTCATGACCACCACTAGCATTTCCAGCTACGGCACAAGTCCCATTTGGGAATGATAGTAGAGAGCCTAGTGCATTCCCTGGGCTTAACTTGGAGGACTGCACCCACTGGTGCTGGGTGCTGGTCTCCTGCAAATTTAAGGGGAGGGCTTGATCCTTCTCTCACACCTGCTGTTTACCTGGGAGCTTTGGAGGCCTCCCAGCCGAGTGGCAGCCTTCTGCAGGACTGGAAATCCTGCCTTTCCCGAAGCTCAAGCTTAGCTGGATTCTCAAAGTTCTTCTAACAAAATATCTGATACCAAGAAGGCTGGAGGGAAGACCTTGCCATCCCCAAAACGTATCTCTTTCTGGATAGTCCCATACTGAACTGAGCTTCAGTAAGACACTAGTTGCTATCTCTGGCTCTGCTGCCTGCTCACCATTCCTCAGCTGTAGCTGGAATAAATCTCAGAGCGCTACAGATCTGGAAGGCTTTCAAGTTTACTAATAAGCAGTGGGCTACAGAGAAGCTGAGGAGGTGCCGGAGGGTCCCTAGGCCCTGCCAGATCCCAGCTAAAAACCCTTCCTTGCTATGTGGGGGCTACACATTTGAGGCTTCAAAAATGAATGATAAAGCAGGGTTGTTGTTGTTTTTTAAGTGTCACCCATACAGCTGTGGTGGCTCAAGTGGTTAAGACGCTGAACTGCAGGCTGTGGAAGGTCGGTAGTTCAGCAGTTCGAGACCCGGGTGCCGCATGGCAGAGTGACCTCCCATCTCTAGTTCCAGCTCCTGCCAACCTAGCAGTTCGAAAGCAAGAAATTGCAAGTAGATAAATAGGTACCACTTCGGTGGGAAGGTAACAGCATTCCGTGCGCCTTGGTGTTCAGTCATGCCGGCCACATGACCACAGAAACATCTTCGGACAGCGCTGGCTCTTCGGCTTTGAAACAGAGATGAGCACCGCAACCCTAGAGTCAGATTCGACTGGCTTTCGAGCAAGGGAACCTTTACCTTTATACATCTTGATTCTTGATAGCCCGCATGAAAGCAGAAAGTGTCAGAAGCAGCTAAGGTGAGTCTGTATAGGGTTTGATTCCAAATCGACAATGTCATGCTCAAGCGCAATTAACCACTTACAGCGAATACCTTCCTAAAATAAATTACATGTCCCTCTTACGCCTCCTCTCTCATCCTTCCAGTTGCATTTGCTAAATTGGGGGGGTGGGGTTCCCCACAAAAACTTCAGCCTAATGATGAGGGTAGATTCCTTCCTCAGTCAGGGAGAACCTTAGGTGGACAGAGATGGGCAGATCAGGTGGGTAGAATCAGAAGCAAGATCACTTCTGGGAGGGGGGGTAGTACCTGCCAACAGTTCTTGTTCCACCTGAAACATTCCTTTACTTAAAAACAAAATGGACAGTAAAAGGTTGTGCTTTTGGGGAGGGGGAGGGGAGGCAAAGGAGAACTCCAAGTGGAGCAAGGCACCTGCCAGCCCCACCCTGGTTATCTCCTTGCATGCCTCGCAGTTCTCTGCAGATTTGGGAAGGCTCAGGGAACCGTGTGGGTCTCCTCATCTAAAACACAATATTCAGTCGGCTAAGCATCCACCTCAGGACAGGTGGGGACTGCAAACGGGTTCCATTAGTTTAGGCGTAGTTTCAGGGAGAGTTTTGAGGAATGATTTGTCTTCTCTGAGTCTTGTCTTTGGCCTTCAATCTTTCCCAGCATCAGGGTCTTCTCCAGTGAGTGCTCCCTTCTCATTGGGTGGCCAAAGTATTTGAGCTTCAGTTTCATTATCTGGCCTTCCAGGGAATAGTCAGGGTTGATTTCTTTTAGGATTGACTGATTTGATCTTCTTGCAGTCCAAGGGACTCTCAAGAGTGTTCTCCAGCACCATAGTTCAAAAGAATCTATTCTTCGGCGCTCGGTCTTCCTTATAGTCCAACTCTCGCAGCCATACATGACTATACCCTGAGTTCAGAACAGCATTCAGTAGAGCTCAGTGGAAAGCAACTCAATCCCCCTGAGCATTTCTGAAGCTTGGTGCTCATCTGAGAGCCGTGGAAACCTTGGGGAGAAACTATGACTCATTCCAGCTTCCCATATGTCTGCTTAGAGGCAAACGACAAACCACCATCACTATACGCTTTTCTATGGCTAACTTCCCCCAAACTACCAAGTTCTCCTCAACACAGCTGAGCATTGGTTTCCAAAGGGCTCCTCTCTGAAATGCTTGCATTCTGATATGGGACCATATTAGGGCATGACCCCAATGGCTCCCAATTCCAGCATACCTTTCAGCCTAATGTGGCTCGAGGAAGCACCAAGAAGCAAAATATTAGTCTCGGGTATTTTGGTATTTCTTTTTGTATTTTTTATATGTGTGTGTATGAGTGCACCTGGAAATCATGGCAACCTCTGGTAACTGACTAGGGTTACCAAGTACCTACCGCGAATCGGCGGGGGCACATGGTCCCCGGCCAGAACATTCCTCCCTGTAACACACCCATGCTGCACCATGCCGTTGCCAGGAAGTGACGCCGGGCGACGCTCTGACAATGGGGCTGGAAATTCGATGGTACCATTGAGTTTCCAGCCCCATTGCCAGAGTGTCGCCCGGCGTCACTTCCTGGCGACGGCATGGTGTGGCGCGTTTGTCTTCCACATGGGAATGGTCCTGAGAAGTATGTGTCCCCCACCGATTCTCGGTAAGTACTTGGTAAGCCTATAACTGACCCCTACTGGGGTCCTGGAGGATATTCAGAGAGGTGGCTGAATAAAGCCTGCCTCCGCCTCCTGCTTCTGGTGTTTCAAGGAGGTCTCCAATCCAAGTATTTGCTAGAGTTGACCCTGCTTAGCTTCCAAGATCTGATGAGATCTGACTTGCCTGGGCTATCCAGGTCAGGGCAATATTAGTCTCAATTTGATCAGTCAACAGCAGCTGAACCCATCTCAGAAAAAACAGATGTGAATGATGAAGGATGATGTCTTCCCTTTGCAACAAAGCAATGAGTCACTTTCTTTTGGCACCTGAATCACAGCTGAACAGTTAACGCCTTCCAAAAACCCTCCATTCTTATGTGTGTTTTTCTTCTCCCACAGTTTCTCCAGCTGCCCCTTCTCTTTTCCCTCTCATTTTACCCTCCGAGAGCATCCCAAGCAACGGACTCACCACCATCGGGTGCTTAGCCAAGGATGTCGTGCCTCCCGTGATCAGTTTCACCTGGGACAATCAGAACGTCAGCATCAATGCAAATAACATCAAGCAGTTCCCTTCCGCTTTCAACCCTGCTGGGACGTTCACCTCCAGCTCTCAGGTGACCATCTCTGCCAATGACTGGTGGAATTTTCAGCCATTCCATTGCACGGCTAATAACACCAATGGAACTGCAGTGGCACAAGTCATTCGTCCAAGTAAGTGAACGTATTTGGTGTCTCTTGTTCAACCAGCAGCCATCCCCCTATGAACCACAACACCATGAAACAATTTCAGGAAATGGTGTCTAAGGTTGCCACAACAGCACATTCTGATTAACTGATTTATTATTTTTATTATTGTATTAAATATAGCTCACCTGTCAGCCCGGAAACCAAAGGCAGCGTTCAAAGACAATCTTGGCCAGAACTAATGCTTACACATTCCATCCAACTCTGTAATAACCGGCTAGTTCCAAAACAGCAACATCACACTCTTAACACAATGAACAGTACATAAATATTAGACTTGCAACAAGCAGATTTGCCTTTAATAAATTTCCCCTTCTTTTTGCTATTTCCCTTCCTCCTTAAGCTTCCTGTCTGAAGCCTGAGATGATTATCCGTGCGCCACGCCTAGAAGATTTTGAGAATTCTGACCCAAATGCCACCATTGTCTGCATGGCTGTTAATTTGCACACTGCCAGAGCCACAGTCCAGTGGCTGAAGAATGGTCATACACTCAACTCTGGCTTCACCACCACTGGACCAGCCGTAATGGGTCGTAATGGCTACAGCATCGTCAGCGAGCTCACAGTCGACAGAAGGGACTGGGTTTCTGAGAAGACATTCTCCTGTGAAGTGCACAGCGAGAACTTCACCGGCATCAAAAATATCAGCAAGCCCCTAGTCTGTGACCTTGGTAAGTCGAAACGCTCCAGCCTACCCATTAACGTCAGAACTCCAGAGTCCCTGCCAAATCGGTTCAAAACAGGTCTTCAGCAAGACGTGTTCTGATGTCTACCTCCACAGAATAACTGTTAGTTACAAAATTGATTTTTGAGAGATGTTTAACTTTTAAAGGAATGGTAGAGGATTCATTCCCCTTCAGAAACAAGATCCGATCCAATCCCCTCCAGAAGCTAAAGTCCAAGGAGAATTTTCGAACCACATATAATCTTGGCAGGTGTGAGTATGGGCAATGCCTGGATGGAAGACTAACAAAATGTGGTCAGTGGTTAGAGAGATGGACTAGAATCTGGGAGACAGTTCAAATCCCCACTCTGCCATGGAAGCTTGTGGGATAGCTTTTGGCAGGGCTCTTTTTGTAGAAAAAGCCCAGCAGGAACTCATTAGCATAATAGGCCACACCCAACAGCAGACACTCATTAGCATATTAGGTCACACCCCTTATAGCACAGCTCATTAGCACATTAGGCCGCACCCCCATGTTACCAGAAGTGTGGTTATCCAGCCACACCCACCTTTTGCTTGTTATTCTGTTTACCTTGTTTGTTGTCAAAACCCAGGGCCTTTTTTGTAGCAGGAACTCCTTTGCCTGTTAGGCCACACACCCCTAATGTAGCCAGTCCTAATGAGTTTCTGCTGTTGGGTGTGGCCTGTTATGCTAATGAGTTCCTGCTGGGCGTGGCCAACTTGGGAGCCAGCCGGAACTCCATTCCTGTGCGTTCCTGCCCAATAATAGCCCTGGCCTTCGGCCAGTCACAGTTTCAGTCCAATCTACCTCAGAGGGTTCTTGTGATAATACAATTGGGAAGGGAGGAATATTATAAACTGCTTTGGGTACCAATTGAGGAGATAAGTGGTATAAATGAAGTAATATAAATGAAATACATTACATAAGAAACTCTATGCATGCTGCCTTGAGGTCCGTAGATGAAAGGTGTTGTGCAAGATAAGCATTCTCTCTGAAAGCACACAAGATTTGAAAGGTTCAGTTCTGCTCCTGAATGTCCAAATGATCTCATTCTTCCTGCTCTATGGAGACCACTCTGACGCAAACTTACATTTAAAAATTGCATCCATCAGCATATTCCAGGAGGGTTCTGAGAGGCACCCAAACACTAAATTAACTCCTGTGTGGAATGTCCTTTCATACATCTTCTGTTACTGCTGTATCCGTTCTCTCCTCTACCCATGCACTCAGGGCCAGTTTTGACATTATTTTTAAAACTGAAATGAATTTGTGAAAAAAAGGTTCTGGGAGCTCCGACTATTCTCCCTTCATGAGTCGGGCAAGTGCAAATGGCGGAAGATACCAACAGAGGGAACATGTGGAGGAGATGGAGGAGGAGAGGAGGAGGAGGAGGAGGAGATTGGATTTATACCCCGCCCTTCACTACCCAAAGGAGTCTCAGAGCGGCTTACAAATTCCTTTCCCTTCCTCTCCCCACAACAGAAACCCTGTGAGGTAGGTGGGGCTGAGTGAGTGAACTGCTCTTTCAAGGACAGCTCTGACAGAACTATGGCTTGCCCAAGGTCATCCAGCAGGTACAAGTGGAGGAGTAGGGAATCAAACCCAGTTCTCCCAGATTAGAGTCTGCACACTTAACCACTACACCAACCTGTGATAGTTTAATATAAACACAAAAACACATTCTGAGTTAAAGCATTAGAAGAAAACATACTCTGGTTATCAAAAAACAGGCAAATTCAGCATGTAGGCTACTTGAAGCACATGCTTCAAGTACCCAGGTGAGCCATGTTCTGATTTATTGAGAAACTGAATGTTGTTCCCTCTTGGTTCCTTCTCAGGTCCTTGTTCAGATGCTCAAGTCCGTGTGGAGACCATCCCACCATCCTTTACTGATATTTACATGACCAAATCAGCCAAGCTGACCTGCAGAATCTCCAACATGCCCTATGATCAGGATCTTAAAGAACTGAGCATCACCTGGACACGGGAACGTGACAACACACAGCTGGAGACCGTAATTGGAGAGTCTATCGCACAAGAAGACAATGAATTCATATTTGTAGACGCAACAGCAACTGTGTGCCCAGAAGAATGGGACAGTGGGGACATCTTTAAGTGCAAAGTTACTATTCCCTCCCTTCTTCCCACAGCTGAAACAAGAACCCTGCAGAAGCTTAAAGGTAGGTACCTCTTTTACATTACTAAAAAAAATGATGCATGGCACTGTGTATTAGCTTCATCAGGTCTCTCAGCTTGGCATACTATGAAGTGGGCAGAATGGTTCCAAAAGGCCCACTGAATCATCATTTATTTACTTCAAAAGATTTCTACCTTCAAATGCCTTCTAGGAAACTCACAACAACTGCAGGTGTTGAGAACTAAAACAATACATACAATTTCACACAAAATAAAAGTAAAAATCAGAACTAAGCTCCAGGAAGAAACAGCAGCAGAACAAACTAGTCATCAAATTAGAAGAAGAGGAGGAGGAGGAGGAGGAGATTGGATTTGCTGTAACTCCAGGGGATCGCCAGGTCCCACCTGGAGGCTAGCATCCCTAATCAGCCAGGAACTGTGCAGTCTTCAAGATGATTGGCTGTCTTGGACAGGCATCAAATTATTGAGCCCCCGCTCATACTCTTTCTCACTCTCACTCATGCATACACACACCAATGAAGATAGTTCCAGAGGGTAGCCCCTCTGCAGTAGAAGACCTAGATCTGAGTCCAGTAGCACCCCAGAGAACAACAAGATCTTCATGGTATGAGGTTTCAAGGATCAAAGCTGACAAAGGGAGCTTTGGTTGATTTGCCAAGCCATAATATGAAATTTACCAATCAGAGGGGCTTCACTGTGCTACCTTATGTCCTACAGCCATTCTCCAAACACGCTAATGATCAGAGCTTTACTGAGGTCTAGTGATTGGTAAGAATTCTGTCAAAAATCAGGCATAAGGCATTTGTTACTCTTCACCTTCCTCTCCCCCTGTCTCCGCTTTTGTTGCTTTCTAGCATCCGGATGGTGTTCCTGGTACTCCTTCTGTCTATGCCATCAGTGGTATCAGGTTCAGTGGGTCTCTCGGCCCGGCACGCTCCAGAATAGCCAGAAGGGTTATAAAATGCCCACTGAATCGTGACAAATTTCCCTTTTGTAAAACTACATTAAAACTCTAGTTTAGGCCATTCCCCTGATTAATCCATTTTTCTTTTTGCCATCCAGGTGGGACTCCCCACGCACCTGCTGTCTATGTCCTCCCCCCACCCTCAGAACAACTGACTTTACAGGAGACGGCCACCCTCACTTGCCTGCTGAAAGGTTTCTACCCCAATGAATTCTTTGTGAAGTGGCTCCGGAATGATGAGCCTGTGGGAGACTCAGAGTACTTCATCAGCCAACCCATACAGGAATCCAAGACCCCCGAGCGGTACTTCACCTATAGCACGTTGAATGTCAAAGAGCAGGACTGGAGTTATGGAGTCATTTACACTTGCGTGGTGGGACATGAGGCGCTTCCCCTCCAGACAACCCAGAAGACCATAGACAAGAAAACGGGTAAACCCACCCTTGTCAACGTCTCCCTGGTGCTCTCTGATACCACCAACACTTGCTACTAACCGTCGTCACCATTTGTGTTGATGACCCTCCAGTCCTCTATTTCCACCTGCATCTTTCTTTTGTTGTGCCTCCTCTTGTCTTCCTATGGGCTTTTTAATGGAAAGGAGGGGTGATGTTGGGTATCTAAAAAATAGAGGTCTAAAATGTCAAGTCGTTCACCTACTTGAGGCCGAGTAACTGTTTGCAATAAACTATGTTTTCAAACCAAAGGGAGACTATCTGGCGTGCTGTGAGGTTTAATATTTCAGTTGAAGAGGCATGGAATGAGGCACCCAACTCCATTGGAATTCTAAGGGAAATAAAGCAAATCTTGCTGACATCAAGTTCTTAACTATTCTGGGGTCCCGATCAGATGGGTCTTTAGATCCGTGCCAGGCCCAAGTGCCTGGTGGATTTAAAGGTAATGACCAGACAGCAACATCTGGGAAACATGCTTGTTCCGTGATCATCCTGTTTTACCGCACTTTGGAGCCGTACTTAAAAGATACTAAAGTCCAGAGTTTTCGCTTCCCGGCTGGCCAATTGTGGACTTTCCCCCATCTGATCGTTTCAGTGCACACTCCTCCCGTCAGGATGGTCTGACGTCAGACCATTCCAAGTGAGCGCCATTTTAAAAAAATCTTAGTGATATGTGCATAAATGTGTAAACGCACGACGGCCGCAGAGCTCCGGACAGTTTCATGTTTCTAAACGGCCCATGAATTTTGTTTTCAAACCAAAGGGAGACTATCTGGCATGCTGTGAGGTTTAATATTATCTTTCAGTTGAAGAGGCATGGAATGAGGCACCCAACTACATTGGAATTCAAAGGGAAATAAAGCAAATCTTGCTGACATTAAGTTCTTAACTATTCTTAAGTCCCGATCAGATGGGTCTTTAGATCCGTGCCAGGCACAAGTGCCTGGCGGATTTAAAGGTAATGACCAGACAGCAACATCTGGGAAACATGCTTCTTCCATGATCATCCTGTTTTACCGCACTTCGGTGCCGTACTTAAAAGATACTAAAGTCCGGAGTTTTCGCTTCCCAACTGGCCAATTGTGGACTTTCCCCCATCTGATCGTTCCAGCGCGCAATCCTCCCATTGGGATGGTATGACGTCAGACCATTCCAAGTGAGCGCCATTTTAAAAAATTCTTAGTGATATGCGCATAAATGTGTAAACGCACGACGGCCGCAGAGCTCCACTCAAACATTCTGGACAGTTTCATGTTTCTAAACGGCCCGTGAATTTTATGAACTGCATTAATTAAAAAGGTACCTAGAGGGAGGTACCACTGCCGGTGTTTTAAGCATTCAACTCCACGCATGTACGGAAAAACAAGTACACGTTGAGGTCGGATGCACATGTGCAAACAATTATTTTTTTAAATGACCACGCGGCTCCTTCAGGTGGATGCCATCTAGACAACCCACCATGGAGTATGCGCGCAGTTAGGGGAGCTGTCTGGTCATGCAACGCCAGATAAAAAACATCGGGATCAAATTAGAGCTGGGCCAATTGCGGTATTAGCTGCCCGTCTGAATGCACCCTTGGATTTTCAAAGAATGCTAAAGACATTGTTTTATTTCTGTTTCTTGTTAAGGTGTGCATACACCACCCTTTCAACTTGAAGATACTGAGATGGCTTATATACTCCCATCCAAAAATACTCTTTGTACAAATACGATTAAAAATATGCGAAATTAAATGAAAATTCTATAAAGAATCCCTAATAACAACATTAACAAGAGGCAGAAACATGGATCAATAAATATCTGAACCACACACACCCTGGGGAGGGGATGCAGTTCAGAAGTAGAGCACTTCCTTCGCATGCAGAAGGTCCCCGGTTCAATCCCGTGCATTGCACCTTAAAAGATTAGTTGGTAGGTGGTGTGAAAGACCTCCACCTGAGACCCTGGAAAGCCACTTTGAGTCAGAATAGGCAAGACTGACCTTGATAGACTGATAGTCATATTCAGTATGAGGCAGCTTTGTGTGTTCATCTGTGGTAAAAGCCACTCTTTGATTTTAAAGGCCATAGCAGGGATAAAAGATGTTAAGCTACAAGTGACACGCTACAAAATCACACAACAAAAGCCAGGGTGATAAAATTCTCAGTAAATGGGGCACACAGAGCATGGCCGGAGGGGGAAATGATCCTTCGTAGGTGCTCCATGGTCGCGCATCGTAACAGTGTACTTGCTTACACTACAAAGTTTGTACTTCCTCCTAATCATTCACTGTTGTTTTCTTGGCTTTGGCCTTTTCTTCATGTGCATTCTCTTCTGCCTCTTCTTCTCCCACATCCTCATGTTCCACGTACACGTCATAATGGTTATTGTTCTAAATGATACCATGTCTACTTCTGGGATGAAACTGTTTTATCCTATTCCTTCCCTTTCGGGCCCCAACACTGTGGAATAACTTACAATCATCCAAGAGTAGATTGGATGTCAAACTTCCCATAGCATCCTAAGCATCCGTTCTGAAGATGCAGGGACTCGGCTCATGAAAGCCTCTTCTGTACACCGTTATTAAAAGGAGATGTCTCACTCATTTGCTATTAGTAGAAGACCATGTGTGCCATCATCATGTCCTTTACATGTAGCAAAGTTTTTATTAAGAGCCTACTCCCTGAGAAGCAGAAACACTTAAGAAGTTAAGACCAAGGTGTCTAGAGAGAGCAAGTTCTTTACACATCAACACCGTGGACAACAAATAAATATTTATGGCTATATATTTCATGCAAAACATTAGTTTTTCAGTTCAGTTATATCCCTGGAAAAGACGATATATCCTTATTACTGTTTCCCACTCAAAAGGAAGAAGATGCCAAATTAACATTCTTCCTTGTAAACAATCGCAACACAGCTTGGTCATGACAAAACAGCTCTTACAGGAAAACCAGGAGGTTCCATTTGCTCATCCCAAACAAACTGGCATTTGTTAAATAACAACTGAACAATATTACAGTGATGATTTTTACCAGCATCTACTTCAGGAGAGCATAACACTGGAACCTCTGCCTAAAGACAGGGGGACCATGCTATAGTCAAACAGTCAGCTTTAAGGAAGGAGTTCAGCCAGGAGGCAGCTTTGGGAAGATCTGTGGTGTTGAATACACTCTTTAACAAGTAAAGGAATTTATAAAACAGGACATTAAAACATTGCTCTAGATAAGGCAACTTAATTTATATACACGTATTTATAATAAATGCATTGGATACACAGTTCTCTTGCACCACATCAAATTGTCAATCATCCCTACGGAGAAAACCAGTCATTCATAGTATTACAGTAAAGATGGAAGGAATTCAAGAAATGCTGCTACTTTAAGTCATCTAGGAGCTAACTCCTATACCATTGTGTTTCGTGCTTGAAGTTCTTCTAGCCTCTCTCCTTCCCTTCCAAACTCAGCATCATTCTCCATTTATATCAGAAGTCGTGGATCCCATCTCGACACTCCACTTAACCCAATCCATCTGCTCACCCTGCTCTCTCTCTCCCTCCAAAAATATAATCAATCGCACATGATATGCCAGTGTGTTGAAGTCAATAGAGAACAGGGTACAAGTATCCTCCAGAGGATAAATTTATGTACAATTCCATTATGTACATTTCCATTTTTCTAGAAAAATCCAGTTGAAAGCTATAAGTGCCAGAGGGGTTCAGTGGTTAGAATGTCAGTCAAGTATCCTCCAGAGGATAAATTTATGTATAATTCCATTATGTACAGTTCCATTTTTCAAGAAAAATCCAGTTGAAAGCCATAAGTGCCAGAGGGATTCAGTGGTTAGAATGTCAGTCTAGGATCTAGGAGACACAACTTCAAATCCCCACACTGCCATGGAAACCTCTTGGTGAGCTTGGGCCAGCCACGCACTCTCTACCTACCTGACAGGGTTGCTATGAGGAAAAATGGGAAAGAAAAGAATACAAGCCACTCTGGGTCCCCAGTGGGGGGGGGGGAAGAGTATAAAGGAAGTCAAATAAAATACGTAAAAGAACCTACACAATGAAAGGCTGAGGAGACATCTCCTTTCTCTATGACATGAACTTTAGTTCTGTAACTTAGTCGCAAAAACAGCAGTATGAGAGTGGGGATGCAGTTTTGGGGGAAAGGGATTTAACATAATCACCCATACTCAAATAACCACAGACCTCCCCCCCCAGATTTCATAAAGCCTGATAAGAAAAAAGACAGGCACACTATGGTTTCCTGTCTCCCTCCGCCCCACCCCGCCCCACTGAGGTTTTAAGTAGCTCAGGAGAGGTATTTTTGATAAGGAAAATGGAACAGTGGGATAAGAGTTATAAGAAATCCTTATTCTCCTGCACTTTGCAGGTATTCTTCAAAGTTAAATGATATGACAGGGGACCCAAGTATAGACCCCCCCAATATAATGCGGTTGACTCTCAAATTTACCCATACTGTATCTTCACTGCCCCTCAAAATTATATCAGGCGATATATTACAATCTGTACTGCTATGGTCTATTGTGACGAGTTGAAAGAATCCTATACCACCCTGGCAAGAAGCTCAATCTTAAATTTGACAAAATTATCTCAGACAGAACAGCATCTGTTGCCAAATAGGGCTCCATATGGTTATCAGTACACAATACTGAATGGAGAAGCCTTCTAGGTCACCTTCAGGGCATACAAGACTCATAAAGAATCTGCAGAGCCATCATAAGCTCAACTCATGGGTTGCTTGCTCGCCCTTCAGTTATGTGCCAATCCACAAGCACGCTGCCCAAACAAAAGTTCTGGGCACTGAAATGTTCACAGTTTTAGCATTTTGCTGCTCCGTGTGGCATCTTTCACCCTCTTGCTTTAATTCCCTGTAATATATTTAAATTTCAATAAAATCCTTTAATACAGTTGCAAAACACTGGGCCTTCGTACCAACAAGCCAAGAAATAATTCATTGCGTGGTCAGAAGTAACTGTATGTCCTTTCATCTCAGGCAGGCCTTTTTTTAATCTCTTCTCTCTTCAAGACAGAGAAATGCCACAATTTGCAACTGTCTCAAGGTTTCAAACGTTCCACTCTTCCCTGTTTGTCTTGACACTTCCCTATAATTCTACTTATCATATAGCATCCTTACGAGTTGGCTGTTACCTGTCCAAAAACAATTCTGCTGCATATCAAAGTGCGTCTTTCCTACTCCCTACTCATTCCTTGCTTTAGAAGTTGCTGTGATACCTTCTGTTGTTTTCTTTGTCAGACTACACTGAGACATGTTCTTTGCTTTCTGAACTCCTAAAGAAACTGATTTCCATTTATCATCCAAAGCTTACCTTGATGGGATTGTAGCCACTGATGATGATGAAGGACTCCTAAACATCTCGTCAATCCTTTCCACTTTTATCATCCTCTTCCTCGTGAGCCTTTTCTACAGTGCCACCGTGACTGTCATCAAGGTAAAGTAAATAGGGTGTGAAAGGAAGGATTTTGAAAACATATATTATGGATTACACATAGTGATCCAATAGCCATTTGTTTTTAAAAGGGAGAGAAGCAGATCAAGAGAAGAGCAAAACTTACATGTGGTGCCAATGGTCATTACTGGATGACCCAGAATAAGGTGGGGCAATATGTTGGAAAGTTAAATCTCTCAAAAAGACGACACCCTCTCAACAAGGGAGGTATAGTTTGCAAAGATGCATATCCAGGCCATTAAGATGGATAAAACCAAAGTTATCCCATTCATCACAGGAGCGTGGTCCAATAGCCGTTCATTTTTAAAAGGGAGAGAAGCAGATCAAGAGAAGAGCACAACTTACATGTGGTGCCGATGGTCATTACTGGATGACCCAAATACTGGATGACCCAGAATAAGGTTGGGCAATATGTTGGAAAGTTAAATCTCTCAAAAACATGACACCCTCTCAACAAGGGAGGTATAGTTTGCAAAGATGCATATCCAGGCCATTAAGATGGATAAAACCAAAGTTATCCCATTCATCACAGGAGCTGCCATTATTGACACACACACCCCTCATTCTTGTCTCTATACATTATGAAAGATTTCTCATGCCATTAAAACACAGTTTTCTTTCCTCACAACATGGTGATGGTGAACCTGATGACAGAATAGTTGCAAAGGAAGTTGTGTAACAGTGGGAGAGCATCTAGTGTCCTGGCTCCACTGGTGGACCTCCTGATGGCACCTGGTATTTTTGCCTACTGTGTGACAGAGTGTTGGACTGGATGGGCTATTGGTCTGACTCAGCATTGGCTTCTCTTGTGTTCTTATGTTCTTCTACAGCAATATTAATTAGTCTCTTTTCCCAATTCCAGGTGAAATAGCAAAAACAACGATCTTCATATAATGACTCATCCATTGACTAAAGGACTCAGTCTCCACCATCTTTCATTTGCTTCTGGAAAAACCTTAATAAAGGACCTGCATGAGAAGACTGAGTCGCATTATCATCTTGCTTTATTTTTCACAATTCGATGTGAAATAGCAATGCATGCAATATATGGACAATGGACAGCAGGAACCAGACTCCACACTTCCAATTTATTTCATTGCTATCCTAATGAAAGACTTAACTTCTCCATTCTCTTCTAGAAGATGACTGACTGGAGGAGTTGCATTATTCACAAATTGACATCATATCCTGAAGAATCTATTTGTGCTCAAGTAGATTTCGACAATCTGTTTACGTTTTAAATCCATCCGATTTATATGGTGCAATTTTCCTTCTGTTTTGTTGATGTGTGTTTCTCTTTCTCTGTGGTGCTCATATTTTATTCTAGTTTTTGTTGTATACCTAGTTTAAAGCCATAAAGAGCATATTTCATTTTTAAAGTCAGGGGAAAATACACAGGGGATCATTCCACACGGTGCCCAGAGGACTGATTATTTTACTATGATTACATGTACACTATAATAAAGCTATATTCTTAATTAACACATGACTCCCCCTGTGAATTCTCAATATTTATTTACGTATCAAATTCATACACCTCCCTTCTTCTCTAATCAGCTTTCCTATTAAGAAAGGTTGAAGAATCTGGGACTTTTCAGTTTACAGAAGAGACGACTAAGAGGGGACATGAGAGAGGTTTATAAAATTATGCATTGGGTACAAAGAATAGACCAAGAAAAAAATTCTTCCTCTCCCAAAATACTAGAACTTGAGGGCATACAATGAATCTAATGGACAGTGGATTCAGAGCAGACAAAAAGCAATACTTCTTTACTCAATGAGTGATTAAAACGTCGAATCCACTGACAGAGGATTTAGTGATGGCCACAGGCACAGATAGCTTTAAAAAGTGGGCTCAGACGGATTCATGGAGAAGACGTCCCATCAGTGGCTACAGGTCACGTTGACTAAAGGAAACTTCCACATTCAGAGGCAGTTAACCTCTGAATATTAGCACATCAGGGGAATGCCTTGGCCTCTATGCCCTGTTGCTGGACCTCCAGAGGAACTGGTTGGCTGCTGTGTGATCCAGCAGAGCTCTTCTAAGGTTCTTAGGAGGGCTACCAAGGCAGCCAACAGATTAAATGTGTACATCGTCTTAAAACTCTTTAAAAACATTAAAACCAAACAAAAACACATCATTAAAACAATTAAAACCAAACTGAAATACACGTACAGTACAGTACAATAAAATACTCATACATATGGCAGGGAGGATGGATCACCGGGGGAACGTCAGATGAAACAAAAAAGCTTTCACCCATTGGCATAAGACGTCAACAGGAGGAGACAGATCTCTGGGGACAGAGTTCCAGCATTTTGGTGCCACAACAGTGAAGGCCCTGATATTATCATTAGTTGCACCTTTATTTATTACACAGAGAGATATTGGGATTCATTCTTTCTGCAGAAATTACCACCATATTCACACATAAACCACAAATTTCTGTAACAGCCAGGGCAATAACAAGTATGATTTACTTATGAAGAAACACTCATTACTTTATGCATCTGACAGCTGAAATCGTTCTGAGGTGGGGAGGTCCATGGAATTTTTTTCCTGTAAAACCCAGACACACAGTGGCTCGTCGTAGATTGGGGCCATCCCATGGGAGATGATGCAAGGAAGGGAGTTTAAACCTTTCCTCGTGCTAGGGAACCATTATTTGTACAACTGGGAGAAGCATCCTTATACTGATGTAGGTACTACAGTGGGGCAAGCAGCAGTTCTGTGAGGCCATTTCAGCTATTTTTACCTTTTTAATTTAACAATATAAACAATAAAAGAACAAAGAAACCTACATAACTACTGTAAATATCCATTCCCCTTCCACTCCCACTGTGTTGCTTGTTCACGTCATGAGTAAACAAGCTAAATTGTTGTAACATTGGTTGGTTGGGGTTGATTCAGTGAGGTAACCTGTAAATATCCATTCCCCTTCCACTCCCATTGTGTTGCTTGTTCACGTCATGAGTAAACTAGCTAAATTGTTGTAACATTAGTTGGCTGGGGTTGATTCAGTGAGGTAATCTCTAGATTTGTTTTACCACAGCTTGAAAGTAGGATGGGAAGCAGTATCTAGCTTAAAAATGTTTTTCTTGTACTCTTGCTAGTATCTCTAAAAAGCCTTTTTTTCATTCTCTGGCCAAACCAATCACATTGTACGTCCCTTGGTTTCCTCCGCTTAAAGCTGTTTGTGCCTGCTATGTGTTTGCTTTCAGTAGGCCACTCAGATCAGCCATGATAGCTGAATGGGACCTCCATATTCAAAGACAGTAGGCATATGAAGACCAGCTTTTCTGGGGACCAACTGCAAAATAAACTTGTTAGCATTGTGTCCTGTTTCTAAGCTTTCTGAAAGCATTTGGCTAGCCGCTCTCAGGAATAAAGGGTTGAACTGTATGGAGACAGGTAACTTTCCCAAGGTGTACAAAGTGTTCTGAGCCCCGAACACCCTTGAACTGATTAGCAATCATTTCCCTTCTGTCCATCAAAGGGGGGGGATCCACTTTTCTCTCCCCTCTGCTTGCACAGAGTTTTCCTTCAATGTAACCTGATCCTAATAGCCTGATCCTACTGATATCAAGTCTCAAGACCTGAAGCATCGAGACAGGCATCAAGTAACAGGCATCAAGTGTTTGAAAGATGTCATTAATGTTTCAGTTGTTTTATCTTGATGTTTTTATGAATGAACAAACGGATTTGTCTTACATTTGTTTAGTTCTTCCCATGGGGTCCATTTTATAACAGGAAAATGCCACAGGAGCTTAACCCCCTCTCTTAGAATCATGGCCCCAATTCAAACAGGACCCTCAACATGCCTCATTTTAAGAAAGAAAGAAAGAAAGAAAGAAAGAAAGAAAGAAAGAAAGAAAGAAAGAAAGAAAGAAAGAAAGAAAGAAAGAAAGAAAGAAAGAAAGAAAGAAAGAAAGAAAGACTAGGAGCTGCATTCACAGAAGTCCCAACATCACATCCGCTGTGAGTCCATTGCCCTGATTTAAGAACCGCAGAAGATGAGGTCTTCACTGGCTCCCAAGCCTGAGGAAGCTACTTTAGATTTCTTTCATCCCCTGGACAACAATCCCTTTAGGGCTTTTGCTTCATTTTGAGTGTCAATGGGAAGAAAAGTGACTTGTAAGTTTAATGAACAGATTTTCAACATTCTGAGAGCTGGGTCAAGCAAATCCTTGCCAACTAGGCCAGTATCATTTGGTGTCTCCAAAAACTGAATTTCTGGATTTTGAAATGAAGTCAACAAGGCAAGAAAAACAACAGGAGAAAAAAGAGGAAGTCCAGACAGGAGCAAAGTTTCCTGCCACCTTTTTTGAAGCTCAAAAATAGCCCCTCCAAAACCTCAATGTCAGTCAAACTAGTCTGAGCTTCCCGCCAACAATTTCACTTTATTTTTGTTTTCAATGCCCTTTTTTTTGAAAACATAATTAGGGGAAAACTCTGAAGGCCCCATTAGAATAGCCACAGACTGTGGGTTGGCGGCAGAGGCCAGGTTTCCTCAGTCAGCTGTAGCCTTTGGATTGGTGAGTAAAATGGGGTTTTGTTCTTAATTTCTTATACAAAGGAACGATGGAAACAAAGAGAAGGTGGTGGGGAAAGGGCTCCTGGGATGAACCCCTTCTTTAGAAAGGGAAGGGATGGTAACAGACTTGGGCCTGAGGAACAGTATTTCTATTGGTGTTCCAGTTTCTCACCCTGAATTCAGGCCTCCCAGCAGATGTTGAATCACAGGGCTGACTTGCTATCGCTTCCCTGCTGAGAGTCGTAGCTTAGAAAGGACTTTGGAGGTTTGGGGGAAGCTCAGCTCCCCAACATCCTTGCCAGTCTAGGAACTGACTAATGTAAGGCTTGGAGGAGGCAGAAGGGACCCCTAGTAGCACCTTCCCTGCACCCCAACGCTCAGCTCAGAGTCTCCCAATGGAGCAGTTCAGTAAAATGAAGCAGGAAGCCCCAAATTGAAAGTCAGATAACCTGTTTTTGCTTGTGACGGGGAGGGAGGCAAAATTAACTGCATGTATCAAATAAACTCATTGTTCATATGAGCTTCCATCACTCATTGGGCAATAGTTGTCAGCCAGTTTTTTATTTAATATATCCCATATTGAATGAATACCGATGAACACTTGTTCAGGGTTTATCTCTGACGCAGCTGCTTTTCTCTCGACCTCTCAGTTCTGACACCCCTCAGTGGAAAGCCCAGTGTAGCGGTGGGGCTTGACACTCCGCAGGGAAGCATGCGAGACCCTCAGCTGAAGATGTGATTTGGGATGGCTTGAGGGTCCCTTAGAGCAGAACCTATCCCAGCTTCCCTGACATTTTGACAAGGAATCTAGAGTGTTCAGAACTGTCGATAGGTCAGCACTGTTGATAGGTCAGGCACACAAGCCTCTCAGCCTATAGGAAAGGACCAGTGTCGGCACTGCGTGAAGCATGGCAGGTGCTGTGGACAGGGGGGTCCTGGTGGGGCCCACTGCCACTGACCCTACCACCGGCCCTTCCCTAGCTCACTACACTGTGAGTGCTTTGCCACCAAAATTCCCAGCTGCACACGCTTCCCAGCATGGATTATTGTGGCACTCAACTGAGTGCCCAGCACAGTTGGCAAAAGGTCACGCAAGGTGTGTGAGCAGTGTTCCCTCTAAGCTGAGTTAGTGTGAGCTAGCTCACAGTTTTTTAGCCTCTGGCTCACATATTTTTGTCTCAGCTCAGGAAGGATGGCTCCAGAGCAAGCTAATTTATGCAGTAGCCAAATGGCTCGCTCACAACTTTAATGCCAGTAGCTCACAAAGTAGAATTTTTGCTCACAAGACTCCACAACTTAGAGGGAACATTGTGGGTGAGCATGGGAAGTGGGAGGGCTTGCAACAATGCTCCCTCTAAGCTGAGGAGTCTTGTGAGCAAAAAAATCGACTTTGTGAGCTCCTGGCATTAAAGTTGAGAGCGAGCGATTTGGCTACTGCGTAAATTAGTTGGCTCTGGAGCCCCATCCTTCCTGAGCTGGAGTGTGTGAGCTGGAAGCTAAGAAATTGTGGTGCTAGCTCACACTAACTCAGCTTAGAGGGAACACTGCTTGCAAGTGGACATCAGAAGGATGCACAGATGGTGGGGGAGTAACATGAGTGGGTGGGAAGGGAGGCACAAGCAGGGGGGCTTGGTGGGCAGAGGAGGGAAGGGGGATTCTGGATACATTCCAGCCGCAACCCCTCCAAAACTTGGAACCAGCCCTGCTATAGGAGCTTCAGATTCCCCACAGCAGCTACTGCTGGGCAGACGGAGAAACAGGAGGAGTCTCTGTGAGGTTCTGTGCTTAGCTAGGGAAGATGAACTGCAGCGTTGGGAAAGATGGAGGAAGCAGCTGGCATCCCCTCTAGCTCCCCTGAGGCAGAACGATCAGCTGGAAGGCAGCGTTCCCTCAAAGCTGAGTTAGTGTGAGCTAGCTCACAGTTTTTTAGCCTCTGGCTCACACATTTTGTCTTCGCTCAGGGAGGATGGGGCTCCAGAGTAAACTAATCGATGCTTGATGTAGTAGCCAAATCGCTCACTCACAACTTTAATGCCAGTAACTCACAAAGCAGAATTTTTGCTCGCAAGACTCCACAGCTTAGAGGGAGCATTGATCAGGTGATGTGCAAGACCTCTGCTGGAAATTCTGGAGAGCAGCTGCCAGCCTGAGTAGACAGTGCCAAGCTTGAAGGACCGATGGTCTAAGGAAGCTTCATGTGTGTGAGCTTTAGAAGCATGCGGAGAATACTTTTCCTTGCTTCCCCGGAGCTACAGCTCAACAAGGAGAAATCTGACTCTTCTCCAGCTAAGTACTGAGCTTTCAGAGAAATTGTGGTTCCTCCCCATACCGTAGTTATTACCAGTAACAAAAGTTTAACGTGCTAGAGATCTGGACAGCTTGTGTGCTTAAGAACTCAGTTGTGGGCTACAGAGAAGCTAAGGAGGTGCCAGTGAGATTGTGGGGTCTCCCATATCCCATCTACAGGATCTGAAAACCTTCGTCACTAAGGGGACGGGGTCATACCTGAGGCTTTCGAAATGAACCATCAGACAGTGGTTTTGTGAGGGCCAATCTCTGTCCTCGGTAACTGCGACATCAAACCCAAGTATTCATAGAAAATGTTCTTAAACTGTTTCAGAACCATTTAAGTTGAATGGGAAGAGCTATTTTTTGTGGTTTATTCAAAAACTAACAATTTCATGTTCAATTACATTTACCTACTCACAACGAAGACCTTCCTTAGAGATAACACGCCCCCTTTAAGCGCCCTGTGATTCTCCCAGTCATATTGGCTAAATGGAGTGGGGAGGGGGTGTTCTCCAGGAAAACGTCTGCATAATAAGGGCGAGTAGAACTGAAAATTCATTCTTTGGTCAGGGAGATTCTTGGAAGAGCAGAGCTGGGCGGGTCAGGTGGGTGGAATACGGCACAAGATCTCTTCAATGAGGCAGGTACTACATGCTAACAGTTGTGTTTCAACCAAAACTGTTCATATTCTTCTTTTTAAAATGCTGGGGGTTTTTGAGAAAAGGGGGCATTGATCCCCACTGATCCCATCCAGGTTACAGCCATGCCAACTTCCCACAACTCTGCAGATCTTGGAAGGGCTCAAGGAACAACTGAGGTCTCTTTCCCATCTTCCCTAAAACGCATCATTCAGCTGGCCAAATCTCAACTTACCAGCTTCAAGTGGGAACCGAAAATAAGGTCCATTAACTTTGGAGTAATTTTAAGCAGGGCTATTTTGGGGCAGGAACGCACAGGAATGGAGTTCCGGCTGGCTCCCAAGTTGGTCACACCCAGCAGGAGCTCATTAGCATAATGGGCCACACCCAACAGCAGGAACTCATTAGGATTGGCTACATTAGGGGTGTGTGGCCTAACATGCAAAGGAGTCCCTGCTACAAAAAAAGGCCCTGGGTTTTGACCACAAACAAGGTAAGCAGAATAAGAAGCAAAAGGTGGGTGTGGCTGGATGACCACACTTCTGGTAACACGGGGGTGTGGCCAAATATGCTAATGAGCTGTGATGTTGTGGGTGTGGCCTAATATGCTAATGAGTTCCTGCTGTTGGGTATGGCCTATTATGCTAATGAGTTCCTGCTGGGCTTTTTCTACAAAAAAAGCCCTGATTTTAAGGAAGGGTTTACAGGGAAGGTCTGGCTTTCCCTGAGCCTTGCGGAAACCCAGTATTCAGCAGGGAGAGGGAGAACAGAGTGCAACACTGAGTTGAGCCCAGGCTTCAGAAGGGTTCCGGGTTCCATGGCAAGGAACTGGACTTCCCTGAATCTTAGTGAAGCTCAGCGGGGACACTTGGAATCCTTGGGGAGCAACTCGGAATTGCTGCAGCCTCATGAACTGCAGCTTAGGGGCATACAACTACGGTATAACCTCCTCCTCAGAGTTATTCAGTGCAGCCTTCCCTGACCTTTGACCCTGTTTCCCCCCAAAAAATTCAAATCTCTTTCCTTTTCTTAGTTCAATATTACTTCTAAAGGGCCAGCTGGAAAAACAGTTCTCTGCTGCTCCTCTCTGGGGCCTCGCATTCAGTAGTGACCTTCACGACTCCCAGGGAAGAAGCGAGATCTTTCCAGCCCCCAGGTTCTCGACCAGTGATGCTGTGTGCCTCATGGCACACTGTTGGCTTTAGGAAAGTTAGTGGAACTTACTGGCCACCACCTTTGAGAGCACTTTCCTCCTGATATGGGCTAGACTGGAACACTGGTATAATGCTTCCGAATTTGGAGATGGCTTCTGGCCAAGCTGACCTCTGGAAAACTGACATAAAAACACACCAAGAACTAAAATATCAGACAGTCTCATAAGAACATAAGAGAAGCCAATGTTGGATCAGGCCACTGGCCCATCTAGTCCAACACTCTGTCATACAGTGGCCAAAAATACCCAGGTGCCATCAGGAGGTCCACCAGTGGGGCCAGGACACCAGAACATAAGAACATAAGAGAAGCCAATGTTGGATCAGGCCAATGGCCCATCTAGTCCAACACTCTGTTACACAGTGGCCAAAAATACCAGGTGCCATCAGGAGGTCCACCAGTGGGGCCAGGACACTAGAAGCCCTCCCACTGTTGCCCCCACCCCAAGCACCAAGAATACAGAGCATCCCTTGCCCCAGACCGAGAGTTCCTATCTATACCTTGTGGCTAATGGCCACTGATGGACATCTGCTCCACATGCTTATCTCATTCCCTCTTGACCATAAGCTTATCTAATTCCCTCTTGATGCTTATCTAGTTCCCTCATCTGATCAGTTGACAGCAGAATTCATTTAACTCGTCTTTTTAAAAAAAACATACAGTAGACACTGGCCCTTTGTAGGGGAACCATTCCCAGGATCACTTGCTAATGGCAAAATCTGCAAATACTAGGAGGCAGGATTCTACTGCCGCCCAGTAGCAAAACAAACAAATTTGCTACATTTTTAAACAATTAATATGATGTCAGTGTGGTGGGAGTAAATATGGGCTGGAGAGCACATTATATGATTTGACCATGAACCATGGATAAGTGATAATATGAATAATGAATCCATGAATGGCAAACAACTCCTGTATGTTTATAAAGCTGAATTTTGATGTTGAATAATTTTGGTTCACTTTCTTTTGGATATTCACCTCACAACTTCCCAAAAAACCTCTCCATAATTACTTTTATTTTCTTCTCCCACAGCTACTCAAAGCGGTCCTTCTCTTTTCCCCCTTGTTATACCCTCTGCAAGCATCCCAAGCGACGGACTCATGACCATCGGGTGCCTCGCCAAGGACGTCCTACCTGCCTTGGTCAGTTTCAGCTGGAATGATTACAACAACATCAGTATCAATGCAGAGTATGTTACACAATACCCCACTATTGGCAATTCTTCTGGGCCATACTCTTCGGTCTCCCAGGTGACGGTCTCTGCCCATGACTGGCGGAATTTTCAACCGTTCTTCTGCAAAGCTGAACACGTCGATGGAGAAGCGCAAGTCATTCGTCATAGTAAGTGAACATATTTAGTTTCTTTTGATCGACAGATAACATCCCCCAGTGAACGACGACACAACAGCTTCCTCTGAGAATTACTGCTTACATGCCATCCAACCAGAGGTCATTTTGGGGGGGATCACGGGGGATCTTAGTTCCCCCGGGTGAGGCACGGGGGTCGGGGCACATGACGAAGCCCCGCCCCCTGCTTCCGGCCACCCCACTTCCAGCCCTCATTCAGCCAAGAGGAGACAGGAGAAGAGGGGGGGTAAGTTTGAGCTGCAAGGCCGGCGGCAGCGGCCGGGACCGTTGGGGGCGGGGTGTGTGGCCTTATGACACACATCCGGTGATGTCAGGGGGTGTGGCCTTATGACACACTTCCAATGATGTCAGGGGGTGTGGCATATGCTAATGAGTTATGCTAATGAGTTCCCCTAGCTCTTTTTCTACGAAACGACCCCTGCATCCAACTATATGAAAACAAGCTAGTGACTAAACTGCTACATGACTCTCTGTTCTTAAGACAACGGACAGTTACAAGTTCAGCTCATTCCTAAGGTTTTTCGACACGATTAATTTATGAAAAAGACATAACTGAGACAAATATGAAATTTGACGTGCTAAAAAACCTTCACCTTCTGCATTGAAATTCTTGTCCCCTGTTTGGGTAAATGGAGTTGTGGTTACCCTAGGAAAGGAACATGGCTATTTTCAGGTGTGATCATTGTTTGGTGGACAGAGAACATTCTTGGCAAGCAGAATGGCCCAGGTTATGCCCTTGGCATCTCCAGTTAAAGAGTTTCCAGTTAAGTGTAGAGAAGGACCTTTCTCAGCTTGAGAGCACAGAGAGCTATTACCAGACAGAGTACACCACACAACTAGATGGACCAGTGGGTGATAGAAGGTATCTGCATCTATTCATATTCCCTGCACACTCTCAGTAGCACTTTCTCCTGTATTATTCTTTCTTTTGTTCTTTTACTGGGATCTAGGGGCAGCCCCGGCACTAATGAACCTTCACAAGGGATCACACTCACGAATGCCGAAATCTAGTTAGTTTTATACAGGCAGCTTTCTCAATAGCCTGGATTGTATTAAAAGGGCTATAGCATCGAAATCACAGGAGGTCATAGCCCCTCTGTATACTGCCTTGGTCAGGCCGCACCTGGAGTACTGTGTGCAGTTCTGGAGGCCTCACTTCAAAAAGGATGTGGACAGAATTGAGAGGGTGCAGAAGAGAGCGACGACGATGATCAGGGGTCTGAAGACTGAGCCCTACGAGGAAAGGCTAAGGGCCCTGGGACTGTTGAGTTTGGAGAAGAGGAGATTGAGGGGGGACATGATTGCTCTTTAAATATTTGAAAGGCTGTCATTTGGAGGAGGGCAAGGAGCTGTTCCAGTTGGCAGCAGAGGAGAGGACCAGTGTTCCCACTAAGCTGAGTTACTGTGAGCTAGCTCACAGTTTTTTAGCCTCCGGCTCACACATTTTTGTCTTGGCTCAGGGAGGAGAGCTCCAGAGCAAAGCAATTTATGCAGTAGCCAAATGGCTCGCTCACAGCTTTAATGCCAGGAGCTCACAAAGTAGAATTTTTGCTCACAAGACTCCGCAGCTTAGAGGGAGCATTGGAGAGGACCTGAAGCAACGGGTTTCAATTACATGCAGAAAGGTATCGGTTGGATATTCGGAAAAACTTTTTCACGGTCAGAGTGGTTCAAAGGTGGAATCAGCTGGCTAGAGAGGTGGTGAGCTCCCCTTCACTGACAGCTTTCAAGAAGAGGCTGGACAGACACTTGTCAGGGATGCTCTAGGCTGATCCTGCATTGAGCCGGGGGTTGGACTAGATGGTCTGTATGGCCCCTTCCAACTCTATGACTCTATAGCTCTGGATCTGTAAATCTCTGCACATACATATAAGTTTCAGTACAGCAGCTAGATTCAAGGCCCGTAGCACCTTAGAGACCAAAAATATTGGGGGGGGTATAAGTTTTCGAGAGTCAAAGCTCTCTTCATCAGGTACCACATACCTATGTCACCTGCTGTATTTAGATTGTTCAGAGTACTGGATCCACCTGCAATGAACTTTTCCCCTTTCTTCCTCAAGCCTCATGCACTGAGCCTGAAATGATCATCCGTGCGCCCCGCCTAGAAGATTTCGAGAACTCTGGTCCAAATGCCACCATCGTCTGCATGGCTGCCAATTTGCACACTAAAAGCATCACAGTTCAGTGGCTGAAGGATGGACGTGTGCTCGACGGGGGCGTCGCCAACACTGGACCAGTCGCAGTGGGTCCTAGCGGCTACAGCATCATCAGTGAGCTCGCAGTCGACAGGAGGGACTGGATCTCTGACAAGAGATTCTCCTGCGAAGTGCACAACGAGAACTTCACCAGCATCAAGAATATCAGCAAGTCCCTTGTCTGTGATATGGGTAAGTTGAAATGTTCCAGCCCACCCGATTACATCTCAACTCCACAGTCCCTGCCAAATGTGTTGAAAGCAGGTCTTCAGTAAAAACAGTTCAAATGTTTACCTCCTGAGCAGGGCTAGTTTTGGGCAGGAACACACAGGAACAGAGTTCCGGCTGGCTCCTGAGTTGGCCACGCCCAGCAGGAACTCATTAGCATAATAGGCCACACCCAACAGCAGAAACTCATTAGGATTGGCTACATTAGGGGTGTGTGGCCTAACATGCAAAGAAGTTCCTGCTACAAAAAAAGCTCTAGGTTTTGACAACAAACAAGGTAAACAGAATAAGAAGCAAAAGGTTGGTGTGGCTGGATGACCACACTTCTGGTAACATGTGGGTGCGGCCTAATATGCTAATGAGTTGTGCTGTCAGGGGTATGGCCCAATATGCTAATGAGTTTCTGCTATCGGGTGTGGCCTATTATGCTAATGAGTTCCTGCTGGGCTTTTTCTACAAAAAAACCCCTGCTCCTGAGAATAACTGGTGGTTAAAATTGATATTTGAGTGATAGTCTAGTTTTTAAAATGTGACGTGTTGCGCTTTAGTTTGAAATAACATTTTGAAGGGGCGAAGGCTCTGAAAGAGCACAACAAAAGGATCCGGAGACGCTGAAGTCTCACCACACACTGAAAGCTCACAGAAGAGCAACCCAGGGTGTGGTCTCAAACCAGATGCAGCAGCTGCCTAGCTGAAGCTTTGTTAGGGACAACCAATTTTCTCCTGTTCCGTGAGTTTGCTGTCTTCTGTGTTACACCAATTTAATTGGGACAAGTTCTTAAATGAATTTTGAAAGTGGAACGTGTGCAGCTTGCTTGAGATTTCATGCCTTCCAATTGTTCCTGAGTGCTAGATGAAGGTTCATATCCCCATTTTGCAATGGAAGCTTGCTAGATAGCCTTGGGCCAATCACATGCTCAGTTTCACAGGGTTCTTGTGAAAATAACATGGAGAAGGAGGGGGTGTTGTAAGTCAATTTGGGAGAACAGTGGGATATGAAATGAAATACATTAAGTGAATAAGAAACTCAATGTATCCTGTCTTGAGATCCATAGATGAAAGGTGCTACACAAAATAATCATTGCCATTATCACTGAGAGCACAAATAATCTGAAAGGTTTTTCCAGTTCTACTGCTGAATGATCAAATGACATCATTCTCCCTGCTCCATGGAGACCACTTTACTTCAGCCTTACATTTAAAAATGGCTATCTATTAGCATATTCCAGGATACTAGATGGACTACTTGCATGGAAAGTCTTTTCATCCATGTTCTGCTACCCATCTGTTCTCTCATCTACTCATGAACCCAGGACCAATTTTAACATTAATTTTAGAGCCAGAATGAAGTTGTGTAAATGCTGTTAGTCATTGTTGTTGTTGTTGTTGTTGTTCAGTCGCACAGCTGAGTCTGACTCTTTGCAACCCCATAGAGCACCAATTATTTTGCTCTAATGAGTTATGGAGGTGCAAAATGGCAGAAGACACCAACAGAGGGAACATGTAATAGGTCCATATTATTATTTAAAATATACACACAAAAACACATGTTGAGTTAAAGCAAGAGGTAGAGGAAAACTTACTGAAAAGACTACTACGGTTATCAAAAAAAACCAGGCCAATGAAGCATGTAGATTATTTGAAGCAGATGCAAAATATGAAGCAAAAGCAGGATGTGAGGTACCTAGGAGAGCTGTGTTCTGATTTATTGAGACACTGAATATTGTTTCCTCTTCATTGCTTTGCAGGTCCTTGTTCAGATGTGCAAGTCCGCGTGGAGACCATCCCACCATCCTTTACTGATATTTTCATGACCAAGTCAGCCAAGCTGACCTGCAGAATCTCCAACATGCCCTATGATCAGGAACTTAAAGAACTGAGCGTCACCTGGACACGAGAACGTGACAACACACAGCTGGAGACCGTAATTGGGGAGTCTATCGCACAAGAAGACAATGAATTCATATTTGTAGACGCAACAGCAACTGTGTGCCCAGAAGAATGGGACAGTGGGGACACCTTTAAGTGCAAAGTTACTATTCCCTCCCTTCTTCCCACAGCTGAAACAAGAACCCTGCAGAAGCTTCAAGGTAGGTACCTCTTTGACATTACTAAAAAAAAAATGTTGCATGGCACTGTGTACTAGCTTCATCAGGTCTCTCAGCTTGGCATACTCTGAAGTGGGCAGAATGGTTCCAAAATGCCCACTGAAGCATCATTTATTTACTTCAAAAGATTTCTACCTTCAAATGCCTTCTAGGAAGCTCACAACAACTGCAGGTGTTGAGAACTAAAACAATACATACAATTTCACACAAAATAAAAGTAAAAATCAGAACTAAGCTCCAGGAAGAAACAGCAGCAGAACAAACCAGTCATCAAATTAGAAGAAGAAGAAGAAGAAGAAGAAGAAGAAGAAGAAGAAGAAGAAGAAGAAGAAGAAGAAGAAGAAGAAGAAAAAGAAAAAGAGATTGGATTTATACCCCGCCCTTCACTACACAAAGGAGTCTCAGAGTGGCTTACAAACTCCACCCTCCAAACCATCCGTGTTCTCCCAGGGGAACTGATCTCTGTTGTCTGGAGGTGAGCTGTAACTCCAGGGGATCGCCAGGTCCCACCTGGAGGCTAGCATCCCTAATCAGCCAGGAACTGTGCAGTCTTCAAGATGATTGGCTGTCTTGGACAGGCATCAAATTATTGAGCCCCCGCTCATACTCTTTCTCACTCTCACTCATGCATACACACACCAATGAAGATAGTTCCAGAGGGTAGCCCCTCTGCAGTAGAAGACCTAGATCTGAGTCCAGTAGCACCCCAGAGAACAACAAGATCTTCATGGTATGAGGTTTCAAGGATCAAAGCTGACAAAGGGAGCTTTGGTTGATTTGCCAAGCCATAATATGAAATTTACCAATCAGAGGGGCTTCACTGTGCTACCTTATGTCCTACAGCCATTCTCCAAACACGCTAATGATCAGAGCTTTACTGAGGTCTAGTGATTGGTAAGAATTCTGTCAAAAATCAGGCATAAGGCATTTGTTACTCTTCACCTTCCTCTCCCCCTCCCTCCGCTTTTGTTGCTTTCTAGCATCCAGATGGTGTTCCTGGTACTCCTTCTGTCTATGGCATCAGTGGCATCAGGTTCAGTGGGTCTCTCGGCCCGGCACGCTCCAGAATAGCCAGAAGGGTTATAAAATGCCCACTGAATCGTGACAAATTTCCCTTATGTAAAACTACATTAAAACTCTAGTTTAGGCCATTCCACTGATTAATCCATTTTTCTTTTCGCCATCCAGGTGGGACTCCCCACGCACCTGCTGTCTATGTCCTCCCCCCACCCTCAGAACAACTGACTTTACAGGAGACGGCCACCCTCACTTGCCTGATGAAAGGTTTCTACCCCAATGAATTCTTTGTGAAGTGGCTCCGGAATGATGAGCCTGTGGGAGACTCAGAGTACTTCATCAGCCAACCCATACAGGAATCCAAGACCCCCGAGCGGTACTTCACCTATAGCACGTTGAATGTCAAAGAGCAGGACTGGAGTTATGGAGTCATTTACACTTGCGTGGTGGGACACGAGGCGCTTCCCCTTCAGACAACCCAGAAGACCATAGACAAGAATACGGGTAAACCCACCCTTGTCAACGTCTCCCTAGTGCTCTCCGAAGCCACCAACACTTGCTACTAACCATCGTCGCCATGTCTGCTGATTACCCCTCTGTTTCCACCAGCATCCTTCTCTTATTGTCTTTCCTAATTATTAGATCTTTATTATTAGATTGAAAGGATGGGTAATCATCTGAAAAAAAAGATGTCTTAAACGTTAAGTCATTGGTTGGCTTCATCTTTTTGGAGAAGAATAACAGTTTGCAATAAACTATGTTTTTCAAGCCAGAAGGAGAAGAACTGGATTTCTGTGAGGCTTGATATTATTTTCAGTTAAAGAGGCATGGAATGAGTCTCACCCAACTCTGCTGGAAATTGGAGGGAAATAAAGCTCCTTTGCAAATCTTGCCAATATCAGGTTCTTAGAACATGCTTTTGTTTCTTTATCTTTCTAAGGCTTGTATAAACCACACTTTTAACTAGTGGTTCATAAGACGACCTACAAATCCCCATCCAAAACCATTATTTGTATGAAAACAATTTAAAAACATGCTAGACTGAAGACTAAAACTTCAAAGAAACAAACCCTAATGACACTGTTAACAAGTGGCAGAAGCATGGATCATTAAATGATGAAAGCATCCACCATAAAATCAATTATTTGATTTTAATAGCCACGGGAAGGTTAAAGGTCTTAGAGGCATACCACAAAACCACACAGCAATCAAGAGCCAGGATAGAGAAATTCTCAGAAGGTATAAACAGCAGCCTCAGGAAACAACCTCAGTTTCTGGCCATTTGCAGGAGCTCTGTGGTAGCCCAACATAACAGTGGCCCCGGTCACATGGAGCATTAGGCAGGCTAGAGAGACGGAAGATAGGCGAGTTTTCCAGGTGCGATCTCACCACCACATCTGGGAAGCGTAGAGCTCCCGTGGCTCACCCGAGGCTTCACTCCGAAGATGTGCTGTAAAAAACTAGTACCTCCGAGGTACTAGTTTCCGGAAACCGCGGGGCAAGGGCAGGCGTCAGATCACGTTTCCAATGTTAGCTCGTGGCATCCAGTGCCCGCCCATGTCCCGTCATGAAAACTTTTTTTTTTGTTAAGTCTCCACGGGTGCGCACAAGCACCCAACAGCGTATGCGAACACTTGGGTTAAAAAAAACATCACAACCCCCGCGGCACCGCTTCTTTGCCGCGTCGCAGGAGTGAGGTATGATCGGCACCTCCCCCCAACCACAGGATGTCGGCGGGACATCGGGCAGGATGTTTGATCCGGCTGCCGCGCGGTAGTTCGCTCCGGGGCAAACAGCCACGCCTCCCCCCTGCGATATCCGGGTCGTGTGACCAGGGCCAGTATACATCTTTACACTGCACCTATAGCCCTTCTGTTCCCCCCTAATCTTTTCTTACTTGTCCTTGGACATTTCCCTTCCACCACTTCATCCCCCACTTCATCATATTCAACATACACATCATAACAATTATTGACTTACTGTTCTGAATGGTAGTAATTCCTGCTTCAGGGATGAACCTTCTGATCTTTTTTCTACTGGATTTTTGGGGCCCACCATTGTGAAATAATTTACAGTCATCCAAGAGCAGCTGGATGTTGGACTGTCCCATAGCATTCTAAGGAATCAATCTGAAGACGCAGGGACCTGGATAGTGAAAGATCCTTCCTTACACCTCTTTTAAAGGCTATGTGTAAAAGGAGCTCTGTCTTTCATTTGGTATTAATACATGACTACGTGTACCATCATTATGTCTTTTACATGTCGCAATGGCCAATGTGTCTAAGGAGAGCAATTTATTTTTCACATCCACACAGTGGACCACACAAAAAAAAATTATGGCTATATAGTTCATGCACAATAATACAGCTCTTCAGTTCAGATATACCCCTTTAAAAAAAGTGATGTATCTTGTCCTTATCGTTGTTTCCCAGTTAAAAAGAAGAAGATACTGACAAAACACGCAGGCAACATAACAAAGTAGCTCTTCTATGAAAACCAGGAGCCTTCATTGGCTAACCCCCAAGCAAACTGGCATTTGCCAAGTAACAACTGAACAATGTTCTAATGATAATGATACCATCTAATTTATCTTCCCTACAACACTGGTTGACATGTTTGTAGTTGCTTTGTAAACTCTCATGACAAGGAGGAAAGAAACCTCTCTCAGTACACTCTTTCTAACCTAGATCTTGCATAAAAGATATTCAGAAATCACATAGTCCAACAAGAAAATCCATAATGATAACATGCAGGTCGCGATCTAACCATTAACTAAAGAACAGTGACTCTTCGATGCACTACGACAACCCAAATATACAACATTGTCATTTAATGCCCCGTACCTATTGCTGTGTTTATTGCCTTATTTAAATGGCACCTTTCCCACCTTCCAGTCTGACTCAAGAAAAGCTCATGGAAAAACCTGACATGCAAGTAACAGACAATTAAAATTTTAAAAGATAAAAATTTGCAGCCATCTAACTCCCCCACCAAAAAATATATATATCCTTGTTAAATTTAATGCAAAATGTACACCTAACAAGAATGAAGAAGAAGAAGAGATTGGATTTATACCTCGTCCTCAGGCAAGTCTCAGAGTAGCTTACAAACTCCTTTCCCTTCCCCTCCTCACAACAAACACCCTGTGAAGTAGGTGGGGCTGAGAGAGCTCTTGACAGAAACGGCTCTTTTTCAAGAACACCTCTGACAGCACTATGGCTTGCCTAAGGTCATCCAGCAGCTGTGAGTGGAGAA